AATCATGAACACTTTTCTAGGCTTAAAATCCCATTTTGAACAACTTTGATGTTTTGAGTTTTTTCATTTGAGGCTTGGAAATAGGAGATATGGCCTTTGCTTAAAATGACCTATAATCACCAAATGACCAAAATACCCCTGTCTTGTTCAAACCATAAGTTGAGTTCTACAAATCCTATCAAGGACTTATAGTACTCTCTAGAAAGCTAAGAAGATTCTCTTCAACATTCATGTTGACCAAGAAATCATAGGAATCATCCTACTAGGGCAAAAGTTGTCTGCAAGTTGGGTGACTTTCAAGGACCCAGATTCACATACCTCAGATGACCTGTAATTTGTCAAAACCATAACTTGAGCTCTGCATATCCTATCAAGGACTTATACCACTCAAATTAAAGCTAAGAACAAGCTCTACAACATTCATGTTGTGGGGAAGATGAGATATCAATCACATCTTGAGCTAAAACTGCATGGAAGATAGGGATCAAATTAGGGTTTTTTCACTGACAATCCTTGGAAACCCTGACTTAAAACTTCTCAAACTCCTCAGTCATGATGAGTTGGTCTAGGAATCATCTTTATAATATCTCCATACATCATTCCATGATCTCATGGCCCTTGGATTGGGTCTCAACCTTCTCCAAATCTTTAGCTGATCTAGGATTGACCCAGTCAAACCCTAATTCTACCATTCATGGTTGAATCTTCTGAATTCTTGCATAATGACCTCTCTGGGCTTCATGATGGCTTTCAAGACATCTCATAGGCTTTCTCAAAGCATCAAGTTCACTCTCATAGTCTCAGAATCATCTGAGGAGCACCCACAACTCTCAAGCTATGAAGCACACAACCTTGGTTTCAACCAATTCCTCTGAGGATCTCCTGAACTTTCTGATAAAGGTATCCACTTTCAAACACTTGATGGGTGAATAAATGTTGGTCAAATTTTGGGGTGCAACACATTGCACCTGCATACAACATCCTTAAATGGAAGAATCTTGCGGCGCCAATGTGTTCCCGCACAATGCTCCACACACACACACATAATATCAAGAAAGTCAATAGAAATACACACACACACACACACATAAACAGCTTAGCCAAAAACAAACCAGCCTAAATGCTTAGTTAATAGATCAAAACACTAAATAGAAAATTCAAATATCTCACACATATCATTTACATAGTGTCTTAATTAATGACACAAACCAAATCTGCCTATGCATAAAACCAGTTCCTACAATCAAATAATGAAGTTATACAACCTCAATATTCAATGATAGAATAATGCTAAAGGTGGTATAAAATTGATTATTTCTACACATTGCCTACAAATAGAAAATAAGAATTAGAAAACACTAATTTCCAAATGGCTGCCAAATGTATATCTTATTGAAGAGATGCATCCAACATATTTTGTGTGGGCAAATCTTATATTAGTGCTAGGTAAGAACTGCTATATATACGGTTGTTAAATATTCTCTTAACAGAGTTAGAAATCAACATATTAAATATACAAAATAGTTAAATAAAATTTTGTTATTCTTTTCACCCATGTATTACATTATAACCTAATAAGTAAGAAATAAGTATCAAAAGATAATAATTACTATATGGTCAAGAAACTTAGAGATGCAAACAATTTCTCCATATTTCTCCACTTATGTAATTATTTCAAGCATATAGCCAAATTATCTTTAAAATATTACAATCCATTTGAGAAAATTGTGTAGCACATAACATGATGATGAGCTAGAAAATAGAGAAATCTAGTGAACCTTTTTATTTAAAGTTGCTAATGGGGTATGATAAGTGGTGCAAGCACCTCAAGGAAAAACTTTTCAAACCTAATTAACAGTAATTTATAGTAAGTTATAGACAAGGAGGAGGAATTTGAGTTTCAACCCATGCTTTATGTTTGAGGGCCATTACAATTTACACAATTGAGTATCATCCAAAGTAACATAAAAAGACACTAGAGTTTCAAGTCAAAGTTTAAACAATTAAGTATCATCAAAAGTAACATAAAAAGGCAATACAACTTATCAACGCATTCATATATTAAATAAGTAATAAAAATAAAGCTAAATATAAACATACAAGTACAACTTTTAACATTCATACAAAATAATATTATAGTCCAAAAACTAAAATATTTGATTGTGTATGACTTTCAATCCAATTTCAGATATTAGAGAATAAAATATCATCGATCAGATGAAAGATTTCAACTCAAATAGCTTCACTTCTTTAAACACACAACTTTTGACATGTAAAAACAAATGTTCCATGAAATAGATGAACTTAATTCATTATCAGCCAAATAGAAATGATAAATTTGTTGTATCCAATATTAACATGCCAGTGTCCAATGCTTTCATTCATGTTTACTGGATAGAAACATAACACCATAACAAGGTAGAATATTACATACCTTGGTGCAAAATCTGAAAACTTGAGCTTCTTTCTTTTCACCAATTATATGAGCTTGATCTTGAGCTTGCAATTCAACTTGTGGGTTCTTTAAACAATAAAACTTATAAACAAATAATCAATTATGAACATAAATCATTAATACAAATAATAAAACTATAGGCATAGCAAGTCGAAAAACTCACAACAAATAAGAAAACTGGTGACATAACAGATCAAAAAACTCACCGGTCACTATCATTAAGAATGAAAGCATCACCCAGATCTAGATATGTGCGTGGGGATGGTGATTCAAACGAATTGGAGTTCTCTTGGTATGGATATTATGGCTTTGTTGGCGGTAAAATGACAACTTCAAGGAACACCGACAAAAACAAACAAAGGAGGGGGAAGGACGTCGAGGACACCATGAGGAGTGTTACTAATGCAACTCAAGTAATTTTATGGAATAGATTTTACAGTTTCAATAAATTTCAAGTAGAAAATTAATCAATCTCAAAGTTTTGGGTTCAATTAACTTTTAGGGTTTCAATCAAATTTTAGATTTTTTTAGTTCTATTCAATCAGTTTTGTTTTTTGAGTTTTTGATTTCGTAAATGAAGGGTGACATGGATGAAGATAAGGTTTATGAGTTCGACATACCAAATAATGCATGGTGGTTCAAGTGGTTTTGTTAAGGGAGAAAAAATGGTTTTTGAATTTCGGGAAAGAATGAGATGAATTCAATGAGGGAAGAGTGTGAAAGCAACGAGCAAATAATTTCTCAACATTGGTGAACGATGGTGTTGAGTAAAGGAGAATTTTTGTAGGAAGAAGGGGTTTAAGAGAAGAACAAGGTTATGACTTACGAGGTTCTTCACCTCAAACTGGAATTGTTCTTTAACTTCTTTTTTTTATCAAAAAGATTATTATTATTTTATTTATTTATTTTTAATTTAGAACATCAAAAAAAATTCGGTTAGAAGCCATATAATATCATTTTTGTAAAGTGCTAGTAAAGATTTTCATGACAACACACGTTTTTTGGAAAAGTGTTATTATAGGATGACCTATATGATATCGCCCGACATAAAAGTGCTATCATAGGTCTCTGATTAAAACCTTCTAATAACGCTTTACAAAAAAGCGCTATTATAGGTATTTGATTAAAACTTTTTAATAGCGCTTTAATAAAATGCTATTGTAAATTAAAATTGTAGTAGTGATTGTTGGAGATGCAATATGCTTGTTTGTAGAGTTTCTTTAAGACAATGTAATTCTTCCATAACAGTCTACATCTCTATTATGATTCCTTGATCACGACTACTACTGTTAAGGGTGCCACATCTCACCATTGTGAAATGATGATTAGGGCAAAAATGTTCATGACGAGAGTGTAGTCAGTGTTAGTTTTATCAAATCTCACGGTTGATATAAACTCTACCTGTGGTGAATACAATATTGGTTACCCTATATGAAGTGAGATGCCCAAACAGGGTTTGTATCATGATTTGTAAAAACGAGTGAATGAATTTTCCATCCAGGACCGACCCTGTGCATATGCAAAGAAACCCACGACATAGGGTCTCAAATAATCACGAGTCTAAATTTTGCGTTGAACTTTATATAAATATAAGAAAATAGATAATATACAACTATGTTTATGAAAATAAGTAATATTTAACATGTAGCCTAATGGTTATTGGGAGTTTTAGTGTGTAGAAGATCGTCGATTCAAATCCATCTGCAAAGTATATGTATTATATTTTTAAAAAGTCCACATTTTATCATTTGCCTCAGACCTCCGTGTGTGTTTGGCCGACCTTATTTTCATCTATCTAACTAGAGTATTTATAAGCTCGATTACTTGATCAAAAGACTAATGAGAAAATTAGCTTTGGTGCCTATGAATTTGACCATATGCCTCGTGACTTTGACATGATAATAGGGTGAATGAAGTGAGTCATCACCAAAATAAAGAGTGCAATTAATATATGTTACTTGAGATGACTTAATTACTTTCCCAATACATATGTATATATTTTACTATAATTTATGACAGAGGAACATTGGCCCCACAAGATCACATGCTCGCCATCTGACCCTGCCCTTTCACATCCAAATACCCAATCAAAGTTATTTCATATTCCCTTAAACACAAAACTTGAAAGAGCGATGTGATTAAAATAAGAACTCTCAATTCACAATCCCTCAAACACGAAACTTCAAACAACAATGTGATTAAAATTAAAAATAGACATCCCATTTAAATATGTTTATTTTACACACCAATAAAATAAGATTGGTCACATTTATTTAAAACCTTATTTTTTTTTTTAAACTATTAAGAAGACTCATTAGATATTCTATACTTGTATTAATAACTTAAATTAAGATTATAAGTGAACAGATTAGGAAATAATGTATTTTATTCATGTTATTTATTAAGAAAAAGAAACATTTATTTCAACGTTAATCTTATTTCTGCTTTGGGCGCCAAGTCACTACTCCTCCACTGTTTGTTAAAGCCCTGAACCCTGTTGTTTTTAGGGTTTTGGTTCCGATCGAAGAAAACTCCGACGACAAGAATGGGAACTCACTGGACATTGACCGGGAAGGAAGTCCCCATCATCGGAAGTGACTCCGTTCGTTGGACTGACCTCTCCGTTCCTTCTTCCTTCAACACTACCGTCGACGGCGGTGCCGCCATCACCGACGACTGCGCTTCCTGCTCTGTCATCGGAGATCCTCCGACATATCTAATTTGGTTCAATCCCTCTTCCTTCTCAATATCTACCCTAATATATTCGAAAATTTTACGGTTTTACTAACCTCACTCATTATTTGAGCAGGAGAATTCACAAGGCACTGCCTCAGACTCTGGAACTACTCGAGCTCACTGCTTCCAAAGAGTTTCCTCGTGTAGGACTCAGATTCACTTTTCCCAGCGCATTGTACCCCTTTGCGTTTATCTGCAAAAACGAGGTTACTATTGCTTATTCCTAACCACTAGTTATGTCTTATTGTGCATTGTTTAGGTTTGTTTGTTTGTTTGTGTGTGTGTTAGTGAAGCTGTGTTCATTGTTGATGCAGATTACTGGAAGTTCTAGATTCCCTTACTTGCTTTACGTGTTGACTGTAACTGGGGTGGCTTATCTTTTAAGAATTCGAAATGTTTCTGCATATGCGTCATGTTCTATTTTACCTGTGGATGAGCTGATAGAGCTTAATGTGCGTGGTTACGTTCCAAATAATGCTGCAATAACCGCTGTAACAGCAACTGCTCGGTGTCTTGTTATTGGCACCGCTGATGGTTCGGTTTTCTGTTTCCAACTTGGAGGACTTGACTCAAGTGTTCCTGGTATGTTAGCTCGGCTCTTTGTTCTTTAGTTAGTACTGTATGCACAACTGCAAATGTTACATGTTTACTCCTGCTCTGTTTCACTGCTTTCACGCTAATCATGCATTTAATTCACTAAATTGCATGTTCTTTGGAACTTGAGATTGTAATGGGATTTATCTCATAGGCTAGGCTAATATAGGCTGGTTTTATTTACTATTTTGGCGGTGAATTGGAAAAAAGAGTCTGGTTCAGCTGTATAGCATCATAGTCTCACCTTTTACTATGTGAAAATTTTATTCATGTTTGGAGTTTTGTTGATAGTTCTTTATCAGTTTTTACTGGTTTATAGTGAATTTGTTTTTCCATGAAGGCTTTGTGCACGAGCTGAGAGATGAAGCTGGAATTGGCCGTTTGTGGGGTTTAATATCAAGGTATTCTCTTTTTTAATTCTAACACCTAAAAATCAAAATAAATCATATTAGATAACTTTTCCAGTTTATTAGTCTACTTTCTCTTTTATGGATTGAACCTTCCCGAACTATGAATTGTAACATGTTCAATAATCATCTCTTCTAGGGGTAAAATGGTGGGTACTGTACAAGACTTGGTAATTTCCGAGTTGTACGGGAAAAAGTTTGTCTTTGCACTTCATTTGGACGGGACATTACGAATTTGGGATCTAGCATCTTTTAGCAGGGTCTTTAGTCATAACATGGGTATAATGACAATGACAGGTATTGTTTATCTCATGTATTAATTCTAACTATTCTTTTATATATATGTTATACTTGCTCTATTATCATCTGGGCTTCCACATACTCAAGAGGACTCTTAGTATTGATTTCTATAGTATTCATGTCTCTATGAACGGGAGATATTGGGAAACTTGCAAGTGACTTCTACATTGAGGGTTTTGGGATTCCATGATTTGGCCTGTTGGTTTATAAAATCTAGAGAAATGATACGTTGTATATGGTATTAGGGTACTAGATCCTTTGGGATTTTCAGGGTCAAGCAGTGGCTGGCTTTGTTCTTAATCACAAATGGGTTCTTAGAAACTTCAGGGTCAAGCAGTGGCTGGCTTTGTTCTTAATCACAAATGAGTTCTTAGAATTTTTTAGCAATTACAAGCTCAATGACTTTTTTTTTTCCGTGTGTAGAATCAATATACAATATTATTAAAGAAGCTCTTGGACTTTGCAGTTTTAGCAGCTAAAGAAGAAATACTGTTTCATGGCCTCTTTACATACGTTTACATATATTTACATTAAGACTATGTTAAGTGACGGGCAACTGCTTTCCTTTTCGTCTCTGCTTGTACACTTTAATACATACATCTTCAAGTTTCTGAAGCATACAACATGTATTTATATAGGCATTATTTGATTTAATTCTAAAAGGAAACATAGGAAAAAGCTAGCTTCTAGCAATAGCACTGTTCATTTGTGCCACTCTGTTGTTGATTGTCTTTTATATTTTTCTGGCTCTGTTTTCTTTTACTCCCCTCCTCCCCGTTTTCAAACCTGTAGATTTCAGAAGTGCACTGATGAGTAAGAATAGATTATAAAAAACATACGCACACATAAGTTTAATATAAATTGTCTAGTTAATCTTGGTATTATTTTCATATATATTTTTCTTTATTACTACGGGGGATCCCTTTTTCCTTAGTTTTCTCTTCATCTTGATGAATTTATTCTTTTATGCATAAAATGAAAAATTTGTGTTTTCCACGTCTCCTTTATAGAAATCATGATTTTTTTAAAGTTTACATAGGTTTCCTCCACTGGAGACAATCCTATTCAATACGCTGCTGGTCAGCCACTTAATGCGAAAACCCGTCAAAGTTTGGAATCAATCATTGGTTCGACGTTTTGTGGGAGACTAGTCCCTTCTGCCAGACCCAAACCTTGCTGGTCTTACAGTCATTATCTTTTCCACTGTCGTACATATTTTTCAAAATGATATTTCAAGGCTATAGTGCCGTCATTCACACGTCACATTATAGCTATTTTAATATTTCAACCGGTGGGAGGTGATCAGATGCTGTCAAAAACAGGGGAGAACCTAGAAACAGCCAGGAAATGGTAGAGAACCTGAACATGGCAGTTGGTGCTACACACAGTCACTGTGCTGGAAAATGTCTCTGCCGTCACCTGAAACAGAGAGTTGTCGTGCTATTTCTGGTCTATGTAGTCGTAGAATCACAGAAAAACAAAGTGTCTCTTGTGTTTCTTCGTTTTCCCCCCACGAATGAATAGGATGAGAGGTAGGGCAATGTAAAAAAGTTAGAATTAGATATATCAGATGAAATTACTGTTGATATTTGTATATATTTCGAATAGAATATTCCATACCATACTCTGTAAATATATCATGGTATATTCTTTATGTAATTAATACAATTAATTTTGTAATTCCCTATTTAATAGAACTTCTGTAGTTCTATTCACACGGTTTACCTAAATGTCTCTCTTTCTCTCGTATTTCAACAATTACAAACACCAACCATTTAACAGCTACTAATGCAAAACACGGATAACCATTGTTTAACATCGTGCCATGGCCCATTCTTGCTCTGCTTTAGTGCCACTAGTCACAAGTCACAACATAGTTATATTTTCATTTCAACTAAGCGGGAGGTGATCAAATGTTGAGCACTATTTTTAAGAGGTAGTAGTGAAATGAAAGCTTCACAGGGTACTGTATAAACTTCCTTTCTTGTTATAATGCAATAAACTAGGAATAGATTATAGGAAGCAAGACATTTGTTTACTTCTCTTATTTTTTCGGAATTGAGGATGTTGAACACTGTCTCTTTTTGATGCCATATCAATTACGACTGAAAGTTAGTTGCACGCGATCTCTCTTTATTCAGTTATATATTACGCTCTCCTTGCTAACCTGTATTCACAAACGCATACATGCTCTAACACTTCAATGTTTGCTTTTCAGGTGCTAACTTTTTAAGGTTATGGGTGGGTCAATCTGACCCCAATTCAAACATAATTCCTTTAGCAATTTTGTACAGACATACATCGGTATAAGATTTAAGGCATTGTTATTTCCTACTCATTTGTTAAATACAGATGCATATCTGCAATGTTGGCCGTGTTTACCTTATCTTATAATGCTCTTAGAAAATAACCCTGCAGTCTTATCCTATCATTACTGCTCTGCATATTTAGAAAATAATTCTGCAGTCTTATCCTAGCATTACTGTTTGTTTTTAATCTAAACTTTGGGTTTAAATGAGCAAAATAAAAAAAATCATGATCATGGCTTAAAATAAGTTTTAGTTTGAGACATAGGTCCAGTAAGAATACCTTCACTTTGATAATTATTGTTTAGTTTTGAGTTTCAAAAAACTGTATTTTGTCTAATACAAATTAAATTGTTATGTTTATGCCTTTGATTGTTGAATATAAAATAAACTTTGGTGATATAGAGTAGAATACTTATGAAGTAGTAAATTAGCCAAAATTTTACTCTTATTTTGCTTGCTTAAAATTTTATTATAGAAATCTCTTTTTTAATATTATTAAATTCCCAAATTCATTATCATGCGCCTCCATCCTTGTATAAATCTATGTTAGTCATACCAGCTAACGAGTTGGATCAGTGATGTTTCAATCCGAGTCCTTTAACCAATGATGTCTAGAGCTCGTGGCACATTGTTTGTTTTAGTTCACAGGCTTTTTTTCATCATTCAAACACACCGACCAAACTTTAGAAACTCATTTCTTTCCAATCTTTAACTTGATACTTCATATTTTCATTTCTTCACTTGTTATCTGTCACTATGTGGTTCTTCTTCAGTTTTTCTCCTTTTTCTCCTCCTGCAATCATGTTGAATATGATATCTCTTATTATTTATTTTGGTTGAATTGGAATAGTTGTAATTTATGTTGTGCATACAGATTTAGTGTACCTGCTTTAAAATGGAGACATCTCAAGGATTTGTTTAATTCTTAAAAGTATTTAGCCTTTACCAGTAACAGAAATCTGAGTTGTCTTTAAAGATTAAAATGTCAACTGAAGCATCAGTTGTTTAACTGTTTTAGGAATCAATATTACATTTTTGTTTGATTTGTTTTGTTTGTATTGCTCTAGGATGAAAACTTGGAGACTATCTCTTTACACAGCATCCTATATGATTTTAAGGACAGAATTGTTTTCTCTTTGGAGCCTTCAGTACAAAATATTCCCTTGGAGGAGGTAATCTGCTGGCTTTTTCAATAAGCTTGGATTGGATGTGCTTTTTTTTAGATTTTTGCTCCAGTTGTGACTTATGAGCCCACTTTCATTTTATCCAGGGACGATGCCTTGATGTTAAATTAGTGTCAGATAAGATATGGATACTGAAGGATAATGAATTAGTATCACACTTGTTGGCTATAAATGTTGATGAGTATGTAACATTTTCATATCTTTTACATTATGCTGCTCTTTTGATTTTGAGCATATTTTCACAGTAGGTTAGTGTTAAAAAGGGCAACCTGTGCCATGCAAGTTACAAAAGAAGAGTATATGGGCCTGTTATAGGGGCATCCTTGCTCTGCTTTTCAAGATGGTGATATGGTTGTAGTATAAACGAGGAATAAATATCTCCATTGGTCTAGCATTTTGCTAAACAATTTGAAAAACGCTAAACCTTTGTCAATTAATAGTGGTCGGTTTATCTTTATCCATAGGCAGGATCAGGTTCTCTGTTGATATTATAATACACTAACACTCTATGAAGCACTGGCTTAAACACTGACATGTTGACACCGATAATAATTTGAAAAAATGAATAAGTTAAGCGTAATCACATGTGCCGGTGTTGGACATTGGCATGTGCAGGCAGAAGACACACCTTTGTTCAGAGGTGTCATGCTAGAGTGCCAACGCTGCATGATTTGTCTAGAAGACATTTTTCATGAATCCAATTAATTTATAAGTTGTCACCTTATTATTAACTTAGATTAAGTTTCTGAAATGAAAAGATTGTTATGTGTATTCTGTTACACTCAATGCAGTTTAAATTGATTTTAGGATGACGCATTCTCATTTAAAATTGTGACAGGCAACTTCAGATTTAGGAAAAAAATAATCCCTTAAAGAAGTTATTCAGTGGTTAAGATTAATATAGTTTTATTCTTGTGTCACATGTTCAAGATTCTAAATCCTGACTCTATCTTTTAATATGGGTAAAGTCATTGTTCTTGCTCAGTTGTTAATCTGTTTTTGTCAGGGTAGAAGCATTTTCTTATGCTTTACAGGAAGAATTTGTTGCTGATCAGTTATTTCAAAGTTCAGAACATCTCGCAGACGAAATTTTGCGGATAACCCATTCAATATTTAAATCCTCAAAGGTATTGCACCATTTATTATTTTAATCTTAGAAGTTTTTGTGGCCTTCTATGCCTTTGTTATTAGTGGGAGAGTTATGTTTCCCAGTTCACTAAATGCGTCTGTGTGCCTTGGCTGCACTTTGTTAATGTGTATATGCTCAAAAAAGTGTTCCGTGCTTGTCTATTGCCAATTATGATTTTACATAAAGATGGTTACTCCCACTAAGCACAAAGTGATAATTTTCATTCAAACACTCCAGGTGCTTGTAAATAATGTATTTTGAATGAAATTGGAATTTCTACCCTAAACTTTCATGATAGGAAATCTGTATGCACCAATTCAAGTGGTTAGTTCTATTGGATGTGCAACATTTACACTGGAAAGTGTTTGTCCATGTGTACTAGTGGTTGTAGAAGCATCTTGTCTTTTATCACTTCTACATTTTAATTTGTAAAAATATTGAAAATGAACTCTTTTGATTGATGCATTGAGCGAGCGGTGCTAAACTAAAAAACTTTGTATCAATACTTATCTTGCCGCGAGTTCTCATATTCTTAAAAGGGTTAATATCCACTCCATTTCTTTGTCCCTCCATTTTCTCCATAACTATAGTTTTGTGTGTAAATAAGACACATTTCTATGACATGTGACATATAATTAATATTTAGTTGATTTTATATAGATAAAACTATAGTAATGGAAAAAATGGAGGGATAAAGAAATGGAGTGGATATTAACCCTTCTTAAAGATATTCTGTCAATAAAAGAAGGAATTTATTATTATAAGGATATGATTGTTAGTTCTTTTCTGCAGGATGATATTTTGCCTTTTGTATCTAATATTTTTTTGAGACGGCTGCTGCTCCCGGGGGTTTATCATAATGCTGCTTTGCTTGCAACTCTGGCTGAGTATAACAGGCATTTGGGTGAATCCGAGTTACAGACATTAACTGTAGATGGACTAAAAAAGGAGATACTTTCACTTATTGAACATGAGGTTTGTCATCATAGTTATTAAATCTCTCATCTCACTCTTTGCATTTCCCTCCCTTTAATTTTGGAGAAGTTTTTATATTGACAAGATTTTTATGTGATAGGTTGGATCTGATAAAGTGTCTATAGTGCATTGCTGGAAATGTTTTTTTGCCCGATATTTCCATAATTGGTGCAAGAACAATGCATTATATGGCTTGCTTGTTGATTCCTCTACTGTTGCTGTTGGTTTAATCAGAAAAAAATCAGTTTCACTTTTTCGGTCTCTGGAAGATATTGAGCGGATTGTAGAGGGTAGTTAATAATTTCACTTTCTCTTCTCCCTCTTGATGAATTTTACATCATTAAAATGCACCTGGCTTTTTCTTCGATATTTTCAATTAACTTGCTTCTTATATTCAGACTTTATTTTCACTTGCTTTCCTTAATGTGAATTTTGTATATGTTCTGTAGGCTCTTCAGAGGAAGTTAGTGAGCTCACAGGCATTGTGGATTTATTTGATGATGATATTGAGTGTGAAGTTCTGATCGAATTGCTTAAGTGTGTCACGAGTTTCAGCCAACAGTTGGGCAAAACTGCTTCTTCGATATTTTATGAATCACTTTTAACTGCACCAATGATATCTTCTGAAGATATTATTCGCTGTATAGTGAAGGTTCTTGAAACTGGCTATTCTATATCAGGTGCAGTGCTCCGAAGATCTACATCTGGGGATCATACAATATTCCTGCAAAAGGAACTAACAGATCATAGAAGTTTGAGAAAACTCTCTGTTGACATGTTTTTATCTCTTCAAGGCCTGTACAAAAAAGCTTCTACATGGGACAAGATTTTAAATGTAATTGAGGGTTTACTAAAATTTCTGGTTCCGCAGAAAGAAATGCTTAAGTTTGATACTGAAATGTCATCAAACATAAATTCCTCGATCATGGTACATTCTTCATATCAGATTGCAAAAGTGATGTTTGAATCTGCCTGGGACTTTCTCCTGTTTTTAAGCTATTTGGTGGACATCAGCGGTCAGGTAAGTTTATAGACATTTCCTGTATTCTCCTTTTGTGCAATTGCCTTTTTTTATTATTGTGAGCATCCGTTAGTTGAAAATATTGTCTAATTTAACATGGTACAACAACAACAACCAAACCTTATCCCACTCAGCAGGGTGGGTTACATGAACCAAACGTTGCCATAATTTTCTATCATATGTTATATTTCTATCCAATTTGTTAATCTCATTCTTTTTTAATAGTTTCTCTTGTAGTTTTTCTAGATCTTCCTCTGCATATAGTGATTTCGCTATCCTCCATCTGATCTATTCTCCTTACTATAGAATCTACAAGTCTTCTCTCTATGTGCCCAAATCACCTAAACCGAGTTTCCACGATCTTTCTAAATAGGAGCTACCCTAACTCTCTCTAATGCTGTCATTTCTAATCCTATCCCGTCTAGCCCTATCACACATCCAACTCAACTTCCTCATCTTTGCTACCCTTAATTTATTTCTGTGTTATTCTTTGCTGCCCAACACTCTGTCCTATATAACATCGCTGATCATACAACTGTCTGCTAAAGTTCTGTCAGCTTAAGCAATACTCTTTGCTTGAATTCATTATTTTACATCTTTTATTTCTATGTTGTTTTGTACTATAGCCTCAAGATATTTAAACCTTGTAACTTTTGGTATAATATGAACTCCAACTTTCACCTCTAAGCTAGAAATGCCACGTCTTTTGATAAATTGCATTCCATATGCTTCTAAGGCCCCTTCTCTGACTCTTCAACCTCCCATAAATTCGCTCTCCAACTCTCTGAGTCTTCAAGTAGGACTATGTCATTTGCAATAAACGTGCATCTTAGTAATGGCTTTTGTGCTCAGAACTAAAGTAAAAAGGTAAGAGCTTACGTTTAACCCTTGTTGCAATCTTACTGTTTTGAGAAAGTCATTTGTAGCTCCACGGTGTGTCCTCATACTAGTCGATATCCTCTCATACATATCTTGATAGCTCGGATTTAGGCAATCCTACCCCTTTCTATTCTAGGACTTTTTCACAAAATCTCTAGACACTATCACACTCCTTGAAATCAATGAAAACTAAGTGCAGTCTTTTTCATCCATTCGATATCGCTCCATCACACATAGTAAGTAAATCACTACCATGATCGATCTCCCATTTGTAAAATCAAATTGATTATCAATGACATCTCTTAATAAACACCTAAAGAACTTAATAACTTACTAACTAACTCTTATCTACCTAGTTATCCAATATTCTATGTCCTAAGAGCGTATATCTTGTGCAATTGTTTCTAATACAAGCATTACTTATTTAAAATAATTTTCAAATTAAATAAAATTATTTGAAATTCTCACCAGAATGTCTATATTTTTTCCTTTGTTCAATATTAGTTTTGAAAGTTTTGTGCTTGATGTACTTGATCCGAGTCTGATGTTTGTCAATTCTTGAGCTGTTGGCAGACTGACCCACTTGTAAATTTTTGCACCTTGTTGTGGGCTCAATGCCCCAATGACCAAATTTTTTGTTTCAGTATGGATATGTTAAAAACACAGAAATAAAATCATATATCTGGTTAATAGTCCCACATTAGATAATATATAGTTGAAAATGAGTTTATAAGTGGAATGATATTTAGTCCCACCTTACAGACCAGTCTTGTTGAGCTGGTTTAAATAAAACCCAAAACTTTAAAATGGTATCAGAGTTTATTCAAGATACGTCAGGCCACATGCTATTCGATTACTCAGGTCGTGCTCAAGATATTCTGTCCTGGGCATAAAGGTCTGCTAAGAGTCTAATATTGGATGTGATATGACCTGAAAATGAAATTATAAGTGGGAAGCATCCCTCATCTTATAGGTTGTTTTATAGGATTAAGTTACACTCGATCCAAGTTCTGAAGGACTTGACTCCGTTAAGAAATCAGAAGTGAATATTGTAAGTATACCATACCAAATCATGAGTTTGTTGAAATAACAACCCTTGATTTGCTCACTTTACTCATTTTAGACGAGCGGAGTTCAACGTTAGAACTGATTCCAAAACATAGTAATGTGGGACAATTTTTGATAGTTATATATAATACTATTAAAAATATAATCATGAACAGAGGTGGAAGTTAAATAATTATAATTGATAGTACAAATCACGCACTAAAAGAGAGTATAAGAGCGGACTTGGTTTTCCAAAAGATTTGAGAGCCTTGGATTTCTCCCCATCCAAAGAACAACTCAATTATTCTATGATAACCAAATCCATCTTGTCTTTTCCTATATATTTCTAGTTACAACCAAAAAACCAAATAAAACATAATCTGCTATAATCAAATCAGTGTTGCTAGAGTGTTGCAGTCTCAATGTAGATTAAAATGTTGTACATTTCATATTAATATTTTTAGAGAAATTGTTTCTTGCAGGTCCACTTGTCACCTGATGATATAACCAAAATACAACTTGAGTTGGTTCCAATGCTTCAAGAAATTATTTTTGAGTGGTTGGTCATCATCTTTTTTGCAATCACACCGGTTGCACCAGCTGTTACAGAGGATTTCCATTCAAAACTTTCATCATTGCAAATAGGTAGGTTGCATGATTTATTTATGTTGTATTTTTTGATTTTGGGCCAAAATATACCCCACCAAACCGACTTGTAATTGTAAGATAAGTTGCGTATGCTTTAAAAGTTCTATTTTGGGCTAATCTCTAAATAATTTGGGACTTGGGTTTTCCCAGCAACCTCAAATGCCCAACACTATTGGGGTTGGTCCATGAATAATGTAATGTTGCACCTCAAAATTAGATCTAAGATAGACTCTAATACTATCATAGGTTTTGCCAACAGTGTTATCACTCATGTCAATTTCCCATGGTTGTCCCGTAATTATCATAATAAGGGGGCAAATGCTTACATGAGCACTTCTCAATCCTCACACAATCCAAAGAAAGAAGATAAAACAAATTCTTAATATAGTTTCCCAAAAATTGCTTTCATCATGAAACATCAATGAAACTTTGCATGGTTGTCTCAATTATGAAAATGAACGATGGGAAAGGTTATTAAGAAAGATCTCGAGATTAAAGATTTGGATAGAAGCATGGTCCTGGATAGACATTATGGCGAAAGTTGATCTATGTAGCCGACTCCACTTAGTGGGATAAGGCTTGGTTGTTGTTGTCGTCGTCTATGAAAATGAACTACATCTCCAGAGACTTTTAGAAAATATGGAAATAATATTCAAATAGTAGGAAATCAGGAAAGAGCCAACAATGTAGCAGAGAAAATAGAAACATTATCAACAAAAGGTGGAAATGCCTATTTTTCCATTTACTTATTGAACAAAACAGTTTTTAATTTATCGGACTGTGTGTATGGGCTTGTTCGCAAACAAAGAGTACTTGCATGTACCCAGTTGGTGTGCTCGTATATTTTGTTTGTATGGTGCAAACCAACGAGTATCCAATATATAGTGGGTACTGGGCACGTACATCTTTAAATTTGTACTACCCGTGCTGCATAGGTTAAACGAATTGTAAATGATAGGTTATCATATCCTATCTCTTTTATTTTGGCTATCAAGCCACAATCCTTTTATGGTCTTCTTTGTCATGCATAAATTTATTTATGATTCCCTATTTCACATCGACAGAAATAACAATCTCTCTTTTATAGAAACCACTCAATCTTTTTTCCTTGACATCCTCTCATTTTCTGTTACGTTCCTTCATTTATCACATCTTTTTAAACTTAAAATGGAGTAGTTGTAAAAGTGAATGGGATTTGGCAGAACTGGTAAATAGAGCTGTGTATTTATGTTTACCTTTGTGGAAATGTTTTTTGCTCATCACCACCAATATTATGCTAACATTTTTTGCTCATAAATACAGATAACAACACGGGGAAACAAATATGGAATGAGAAGTTTGCCAGATGTGACTTAACACTAGCTTTTATTTTCTTGCTAAATGTTAGAGGTTCATCTATAGACCATAGCCACTTTTCTTCAGAACACATTTCAAATATGCCAAGCTCTATAAATAAGATGAGGGACTTCATCAGTTGGATCATTTGGGGTCAAGATGGTGGATCTTCTACATTTTTGAGTCGTTCTATTGATCTTGCATTTATCCTTTTCAAGCATGACCAGTATTGTGCTGCTGAGGTTATTTACTTGCCTTCACTTTTCTTTTCCCAGAATGAGAATTTGATTGCTTTGCATGGTTTCTTTACTCTAGTTGTCTATACGGAAAGCATCTAATATTTCAATTTACGAATGTTTCAAAAGCAATTGCTTATGATGGCGGAAGCACATTTGCTAAAGGAGAAAACATCCCAAAGTGTTCAAGATGCTGATGGTGGATGGTGCATACGTCATCATCTTCTAGGATGTTGCCTACTTGCACAGGTGCAGTATGGATTGCATGCAGCACAGAAGGACAAAAAAATTTCGGATGCCATTCGCTGTTTCTTTAGGTACAGTTATTCACCTCTGAATTGTTTGCATTGTGTAGGCTTACATTTTCAGCGTATGAGTTGATCACTTGGTCAAATAGTTACATGATATTGGTTAGTTTTAGTCTAGATTTGAGCTTTAATTTAGTTTTGATAAGGAAAAGATCTTAACAAAAGCCATCTTACTCAAGGTAGTAAAAACTGAAGATTCTACCTGTCATAGTAGTACCAAAGTTATCAGCAGCAGCAGTCTCTTGAAGAAATTTTCGGTGCAGCTAAACAGTGACCTAACCAGTGCTTCCAAACCCGGACCGGTCATCCACTCAATTATCCAACAGTGTTGGTGGGTCCCTGATCGAATTACTGTAAACAAAATATATGACCTAGAGCAAAAATAGCACATATGTAAATTAATAGAGTACATCAAAATAGATGAAAAGGAGAATTAGATGAACCAGGGCAAGAAGACTAGGAATAAAAAGTTGACGAACCATATTAGTGTATTCAGTTAGTAATTTTATAATTTTTGTTTTATTTTGACAAAACAGTAATTTGATTAATTGTCAAATATAAAATCTCATGCACCACAACCTTCATGTGTGCGTGCATCTATCCATTTCTCTCCCAAGTGAGGGTTATTTTAAGAGAGTAAACGGAGCAAATTTAGACAATGAGACAATCCTTAAGTTGTTAAGATTAACATATAAAATCTTATGATATTTTTAAATAATAGAAATATGACCTTTAAGTAACTTTAATCTTTACCATCAATGGATCATTGTATGGTAAAATTTTGCTGCCTCCCTCACACACCCAACACACAAAAAAAACAGCAGCTTATAGCTTGGGGTCATGCCTTGGCTGGGAGAATTTGGGCTTACTTGCTGTATTTTTCTCTCATCAATAATATAATTTGGTTATCATTGCAGTTGCGTTAAATGTGTGAACAATAACTATTTATTGGTTTTAATTGCAGGTCTGCATCTGGAAATGGTGCATCCGGGGCTCTTCAGAGTTTATCTGTCGACGTAGGAATTCCGCATCTTGGTTTTAGTGGGTATCCCTGTAGCATAAATTCAATGATCTTCAGCAATCTGAATCTTAAGTTTTAGTTACTTATTAATATGGTTTTAATACAGGTGGTTGTACATCAATTGCGGCGTGGAAGCTTCAATACTATCAATGGGCAATGCAGTTATTTGAACGTTATAACATCAGTGAAGGTGCTTGCCAGTTTGCTCTTGCTGCACTTGAGCAAGTTGATGAGGCTCTGCATATGAAAGAAGAAAAGTGCACGGACAACTCTGCTAACGAATCAGTTACAACCATCAAGGGACGGTTATGGGCTAATGTTTTCATATTTGCATTAGATCTTGGACGGTATTATGATGCATACTGTGCAATAATTTCAAATCCAGATGAGGAGAGCAAATACATCTGTTTGAGGCGTTTTATAATTGTTCTTTATGAGCAAGGGGCTATAAAGGTCAGATAGTCTTTGATTAGGTCTTCCGACTGTCCTTTAATTGAGCTCTAACTAATGTTTTTATTATTTTGATATTTTTTTAGAAAATGTTGACGGCTCTTTCCTCAAAGGTTGACTAATGTAATATTTATTTATCATGACTAAGTTGAAGCTAGATAATCCTGAGTGGTATTTTAATTGAAGCACACAAGTTTATGACATAGTAATAATACTCCACTACTGCATCGTACATTATTTACAGCTATGTAATTTGTAAATACGTGCAAGTCTGTGCATGAGTTTCCTGTTGCGCAAATGATACTTTGGTATATTTCCCTATTTTTCTAATACTCTCACTTAAAATGTTGAAAGTTATATGTTACTCTCTGCTGTGTGTGGGAGTGTATTAAAAGGATAGCGCATGTCATTAATTTTCTACCAGAAATTTGTACTTTTTCTTTCATATTCTAAATTGTATTTTCCCCTAATCTTCATTGTTTTTTTCCCCACAGATTCTTTGCAGCAACAAACTTCCCCTTATTGGTTTAGTAGAAAAAGTAGAACAAGAGCTGGCTTGGAAGGTATGGTCTGACTGAACACTTCAGTGATGTTAATTTTTCTGTTTTCTTGAATGTGGTTTCATTTTCACTGTGCAATATGCAGGCTGAACGATCAGATATTTCTGCTAAGCCAAACTTGTATAAGTTGCTCTATGCATTTCAATTACATCAGCATAATTGGCGACGGGCAGCAAACTACATGTACATGTATTCTGCTCGCTTGAAAACTGAAGCAGCTTTGAAAGATAACCAAGGAAGCTCCATGATGTTGCAAGAGAGGCTGAATGCAGTTTCTGCTGCAGTCAATGCATTACATCTTGTTCATCCTGCATATGCATGGATTGATTCGTTGACTGACCGGAATTCTCTTACTAGTGAATGTTATCCAAGTAAGAAAGTTAAAAGAACACCAGAGGAATATTGTAAGTAATTCAACAAAAAAATCACACTGCTTGTTATAAACTTCTCATACCATTATGAATTATGATGTTATATGAACATTTTACCTCTCCAAATTTTTTAGCAAAATGAAATTTTAGGGAAGAATGGCTGCTTATATGGTAAATCTATATACTGGATAGCACATACTTCACATCTATGCTAATATTAGGTCGTTTGGGTAACCTTGATGGGATATGTTGAGGGATTGGGTAACTATGTTTCATTGATGTTATCATTATTTTCTTTTCTCCTAGTTCTCTTTCCTTATAATATTATCTCTTTGTAATCATCTCCTCTACCTTAATTAATTTCTTCTTTCATCATTAAAACAATTGCACTACTGTTAATTTTTTTTTCTAGTTCTCTTTCCTTGTAATATTATCTCTTTGTACTCATCTCCTCTGCCTTAATTAATTTCTTTTTTCATCATCAAAACTATTGCACTAATGTTTATTGAAGAAGTGGTGATGTCATTTTCATTAATTTGCTGCAACAGCCGATAATGAGGCTGAGACTCAAAAGGGGCAATCTGCTATTGATATTGAAAAACTTGAGAACGAGTTTGTGCTAACTTCTGCAGAGTATATGCTGTCACTAGTAAATGTCAAGTGGACGTTTTCTGGTAAGTCTCTGTGCATGTGTGTTTTTGTTGTTGAATTGTCTCTGTGGCCTAGGACTGCTTCAAGGGTTATTTATGATATTAAAATTATTATATAATGTGCTTTCATTTAATAGAGTTTTGAACTGTATTACCTTTTTTTTCATTTTCAAGGAAAACCTGGTGCACTATCAGATTTGGCTGATCTCCTTGTCCAAAACAATTTATATGATATGGCCTTTACAATCCTTCTCAGATTTTTCAAGGGTTCCGGACTGAAGAGGTTTACATCCGTGCACAATTTGTGTGTTTCTTTGGTTATAAATATGTATTGATATGCTTATATCTGTGAATTTGTTCTTCTATTTAGGGAATTGGAAAGAGTTTTATCTGAAATGGCAATAAAATGCTGCCTTGATAAAGTAGAATCCACTTGGATTGAGTATGTTAACCAATTCCTTACCTTTGCCTTTCAAGCAGTTTTTTTATTTTATTTTGGTATATTGTTGAAATAAGATACCTGACTTATTGTTGAAATAAGATACCTGACTTATTGTTGCTTATTTGTCATTCTTGTGGTTTACGTTTTGTTATTATTTCACTGAAATAATATTTTGTCTCTTGCTGTTTTCGAATTTTCACTTAACTGTTCCTGTTGGTGGTTATTGTGCATTGTATGATTGATAAATGTTTTTGATGATTTCAGGGAACATGGTCATTTGTTAACATCATCAAAGCTCGAGATGGTTGTCCATGGTTCACCGGTTACAGTTCCTACAGCTCCACAAATTGACAGAAATAGTCGTTGGGCAACTCTCAAGCTTTACATTGTTTGTATCTTCTTTTCTTTCACTGTTGGCCTTAAGTTGATTTTACTGTACGATCAGCCAGTCTAGAAATGTTGGTTGGGGGGGGGTCAGGATTGGAGAAATTTTCATACAAAATGTTTCTGACCTTATTCGTGCCATACCTCTGTATTTTTCTCAATTTTTTTAATCTCTGGAAGTTGTTTTGATACACAGTATGCTTGGTGTTTCTTTTCATACTGGAAATTGGTATGGGCTGAATCAAACTCATAGAAAAAGGGCGTGGGATGGGGTATCCGAAACTACAGTATATGAATAACTATAGATTAGCTGCTTAGACAAAATTGGATATAAGCAAGTCTTTTGATTCTAGTATTTTCCCCTTACATTTAAAGGGCGCAGGGAGGATTTTTTGTTGTTGACAAAAGCAGGGAAGAACTTTAACCTCAAAATTTATCGCATTGGAAACAGTATACCGTGCTCTGGCAGTAAAACAATCATTTGAACATCATTCAACTGCATAGATGATTTTTTTATCGGTGTTTCCAGTGAAATAATATATTTCTCAAGTCTCTTGATACTTTATTTCTCTTCAGTGGGGTGGGGTGGTTATGTTATGATTGTTTTTTTTTTCTTTTTCTTTTCCTTATACAATAAAAAAATTACATTTTTCTGTATCCCTGGTTCACCTTTTTCTTTGAAACTGCTTGAAAATTGCAGGAGAAGTATAAGGACTTTCACGGTAGGTTGCCAGTTATTGTTGCTGGAACTCTTCTTCGAGCAGATCCTAAGATCGAATTGCCTCTTTGGCTTGTTCAATTGTTCAAGGTAATTTTCTAGGATGAGACTGTTGAAGTTGGTAGCCAAGCATATTTAACAGACATTGATTGGTGTTTTATTGTTTCAAAAGAATACCTATCACCTTTCTTCCTTTATTTATTTATTTAATTAATAATTGGTTTTGGTAATGTTTATGTAAAACGTGTTATATGATTCCTATTCTTGGAACTATCTAAAATCAATCACATAATTATTTTTGTAAAACATTTTTTGTTTTTGATGTTTATATAAGAATAGTCAGTAGTGCGAAAAATATGAATACCAATTGTATTTAATAGAATTCAAAGCACCAATAACTCTTCATACTGAGAATTAGGGCAGGTAGGTGTAGAACTTTTGAGACACTTTGTAACACCTTTCACCTTCAAGTCAGCATCACATAATATACTTGGTTGTGGTGTTTTTCTATTCTTTTATTTTTCAAATCCCGTGTTGAAATATTGTCTGTGCAAAAGTGTTTTCACTTTTGCTGCTATTTCATTCCTTGTTCACATCCTACTTGTTTGTGGTTCTCTCTAGAGTTGGATTTTTTTCTTTCTGGTTTAGTTTTTGTTTGAAACTGAATAATATATTTGAAGTATATGAAAATTACATGCACTTATCTTTTTATACAAGACTATTCTAATCTAATGGGTCTAACTTCTGGACTAAAAGCCCGAATATACATTACAACTAATAGTAGTAAAAATAACTTATTTACAACATTCCCCCTCAAACTGGTGAATAAATATCTATCATTCCCTGTTTGGAAACAATCTTTTCAAAGTTATTGCTGTTTAGCCCCTTAGTTAGAAGATCTCAACGTTGTCTTGAGAAGAAATATATGGAGTGCAAATAAGACCACTATCTAACTTTTCTTTGATGAAGTGTCTGTCAACTTCAATATATTTGGTTCTATCATGCTGCACTGGATTATGGGCTATGCTAATAGCAGATTTATTATCACAATAAAGTCTCACTGATTCATCACTCTTTATCTTCAAATCTTATAATATCATTTTCAACCAAAGTAGTTCACATATCCCTTGTGCCATTGCTCTGAGTTCTGCTTCAACACTACATCTAGATACAGCACTGAATGACAATGGGTGTGCTTCACCTATTCAAATCGTAACGATTTAAACACGCTCACTTTCTAATATGTCCCACTATCTCTTGACACATTTTAAACAAGTCAAGAGTTCATAGTTAAAATGTTACATTTGCCAATTTGATCATTAACATTAAATCTAGTTTCACTTGCAAAACAATGCTGTATATGTCAAATAAAAGTGCTTTCACTTTTAAAAGTTGTCCTTTTTCAGAACTTCCATATATAGAATATGGTAAATGTTGATATTCAATCTTATATTTGTAAAAAAAAATCGTGCTAGCATCCAGGCCTCCTTATATCCTTTTGCTTATAATATAGACTGGAGTCAACAATCTTGATTAACACATCCTGTATTTGTTCGACACAGTACGAGGGATACACTTTTTTACTTCACCGTGCAACCTTGGCTCCTATAATATGGGATTTTGTATGATATTATTTACATGGCTAATGTCTTGTCACTTTTAACAGGAGGGTCAAAAGGAAAGGATGTGGGGGATGACCGGCCGAGAATCAAATCCTGCATCTTTGTTTCAGCTTTATGTCAACTACGGTCGATATGCAGAAGCCACTTATCTTTTACTCGAGTACATAGAATCATTTGCTTCAATGGTAAATTATTTTTACTATCATGGATTGAATTTATTCCTGTCATCATCAGAATTAGATAAAATCATTTGCTCAGCTTGTATTATGTCACATTCAATCACTTTTATCATTAGAGTTCCCAATGTTTTTATAACTGAATGGACAGTTCAACCAACTGAACTGTGAACTGGCACTATCTTTAGTTGGAACCCTGTCCTGTCCCGGTTTAAGCAGTTTAAAGCAATCTGAACCATGACTCAGATCTCACCAGTTCGATATCCAGTTTGGTTTTAGAACATTGGATAAATTAACATATACTTGTTATGCATTTACTTATGTTGCTAATGTCCACATTCTGCAGAGGCCGGCAGATATAGTTAAAAGGAAGAAACCATTTGCTCTTTGGTTCCCGTACACAACTATTGAGCAGCTACTGTACCAACTTGAAGAATCAATCAGAATGGGTCACATGGTAGATCACTGTGACAAACTCAAAAAGATGTTACATGGTTCTTTGCTGAATCATCTGAAGATAGTAAGCTCAATGTCTTTTTCTTAGAAATAATAATCTTGCTCGCATCATTGTTCTTATCAGTCTGTTTGTCACGGCTTTTCAGTTGAAGGTTGACTCAGATGATACAATATCTGCAACTTCTTGAACTCTACTTGAGGTAGTAAAGATACAAGTGTATTCGTAGTGCTCTTCATTACTTGATGTATTTGACAGGTTTGTATTCCCCCAGTTCTTTCCTTTCCTAACATTTCGTTACTCATGTTATGGTTCCTTGATTGGTTTATAATGGTGATTTCTCTGTTGAACAGTATAATTTCTGGTGAATAGCGCAAATTATTGGACGGAAAATACAAGGCAGTGGAGGATTTTTAATTTTGAAAAATGTTTGTAAATTAGTGGGTTATGTTAGGAATTGAGCCCCGACCTTCTGGTTAGAACTTCAGCGTCCCTCCAACTGATCTGCCTGCTTATGACACAATAGAGGATATTTTAATTATTCATTCTCTTACCACAAGAGCATCAATGACGGCTTCCACATCATCTTGCCCGGAACTAAAAAAACAGTGTAATATACGTGAATAATGGTGTAAAATTTGTATATGCTTATAGAAATGAATAATTGTTTTATAGAATGAGAGTGTTTTTCCCTGAAGTGACGGTAAGTATATGATGGCATGGCATAGATCCAAGTGGATGACATGATTTTTCATATCAAAGCCAATTTTATAACTTTTTTTCTAATCAACCACCATTGAATGAGATTTATAAATTATATACAAATCATTATGAAAAATAGTAAATAGATGAAAAATAGGAAATAGATGTGGTTGTTTATTTATCCAATTTTTTATATTTTTTAATTTTTGAGTTAATTTTTTAACATTTGTGTATTTGTGTACTTCTTAAGTTAATGGTTATTCATTGGCAGAAGATAATATATTAAGTTAATGGTTATTCATTGGCATAAAATAATATATTACTTTTTGTCTTCTCTTCCTCTCTTTGATTTCTATATTTGTTATATATAGTTTTATAACGTTATTAGCACGAAATTTTCATATGAATGTTAACTAATTGTCTAAGTGATATAGATAATTTGATAATGAAGGCTCTAAGATTTAAAAGATAATATTATTATATTTGTTTTGTAATATATATTTTTAATTCTGTCTATTATGTATTGATATATTGATTAGAAGAAAAAATTTAACTATGATTTTCATATATCTCAGGAAGATTGGATGAATAATATTAAAATATCTTTGAAAGACTAAACTAATGTTTTTGTTATATAGTTTCTTAAGAACTTAATAAATACCCTTGAAGAATAGAAAAATAATAATTTATTATATAGTCATTGAAGAAATTAAGCATCCTTGAAGGAGAGCAACATAATAATTTATTATATAGTTCTTGAAGAACTTATCAAACATTTAAGGATAGTAAAATAGTAATTTATTATATAGTTTCTAAATAACTAATCAAGATACTTGAATGATAGAAAAATAATAATTTATGAAGTTTTTGAAAAACTTATAATACATCTTTAAAGGATTGCACACAAGTTATTTATCGTTATCATTGTTTGAAAATTTATGACTACCTTTCGAAAAAATTATATATATTATAAATGATCTCCAGAGGATTATTCAAAGAATAAATTACTTTTATTCATTCATCAAAGAGTGGTTATCCATTGATGATTGATAAAAAATGATTATTATGTCTCCATTGATTACAAAAGTATCAATGTCGATTTTAATGGATCTTAGAAAAATTGACAATCATAGAAGGATGACATGAATAATATTAATAATTGTAAATTTATCAAGATTGAATATATTTTAAACAAATTATATTATATTTACTAGAGATTGAAACAAATTAGAAGAATAGAATCATATGTATTTTAAGTGTGTTGGCAAAATCAGTTGGGTCATCTCAGACGTATTATGATCTGAGAACTAGTTTTGAAGAATAAGAAGTTTCTTCAATCCAATAAAATTTGTGTGTTTCTAAAGAAATTAAAAATTTGAGAAATTGAGTTTTTCATGACATTAATTGTTGCATCGACTAAAATATCATGCAAATGTTTATTGTCTACTCACAACCAGAAGTTTATGAAGTTGTTTTCTCAAACTAAGATCTCAATTTCTTATTTTTTTCTTCAGAATTTTCTTAATAAGTATAACATATATTATCAAAATTGATATTGAATAACTTGTAGCATAAGTTTCATAAAAAAAAGGAATTGAAGATCCATTCTTTATACGTCTAAAGTTGATTGTATGACTTATAATTGTGAGATCATAAATTATATATTATAATTTTGATATTTGAAACACACAAAATACGAATATGAAGATATTTATTCGCATAAAGCCAACAAGTTAATATAAGATGATTCTCCCCTTAACTTAAATATTATTTTAGGTTAATAATCTATTATATCTCATCTAAGTAAACTTTTGGATGTGTTGTAATTATTCAATTGCTCCAATATAGTACGCTAATATGAGTTTTGAAAGAATTTTGAGAAAATGTATTTTATATGAATCCCGTACTTGAGGATATATCTTGATCCAATAAGTGAATATTTGTTTGAAGTCCAGTAGACTGATTATCGATTGATAAATTATTTTTCTCAATATTAGGGGGAAAAAATAAGCAGCTGAGGGTGAACCAGAAGTTCAAATTAACAATTTAAAATAAAATATTATAATATCATTTTGATTCTCAAAGTTCAAAACACAACTCATTTGCAAATTTTATGAAAAAAAAATTATCAGCCACTAATTCTCCACTCAAAGTGGATTCGCCTATTGGATAATCTAATATTACAAATGAGTTATAATCACGCATGAAGTGTGGTAGGAAAGTCGGTTCTAATGTTAAAAGTTCTTTATAAAGAAAAGAAACTAAAGTTAAAGATGACGCAAGTGAGGATATGAAAACTCTAAGAGCACTTTGACATAATTTAATTTTGAGTTCCAGAAGAGCTAACCAGGTACCTAAAATTTATGAAAATTAACAAATCTCGATAAATTATGTCATGAATGAAATATGATGGAACCAAAATAAAGTCAATATTGACAATCTCTTTGTGTATAATATAACGCTAAAGATGATAAATGATAACGAAGATCACGAGTCAAAGTCTATCAAAGATTGTAGACCAAGTGAGAATTGGTTAAAATGAACCTATTCAATTGAAAAGAATTAAACTCACTTTACAAGTGACTTGATTTTGGACCTGTAGTTCGAACACCTTAAGATGTGAAACCAATTGAATATAAATGAGTTTTTGTGAACATGCCCGGTTGAGATCGATATAATCAACACACATTCTCCATTTTCCATTATGTTTCTTAACTAGTACAACGTTGGACAGTCAGGTTGTGTATTGGACTTCCGATATAAAATTCGCCTCTAGGAAGTCTTTTACAGCTTTTTCAGCAACCTTCGCTTTCTCGGGAGACTGCCTACGCCTATGTTGAACTATGACCCTAGCGGCCGGATCTTTGGATAGGTGGTGGCACGCCACGTCGGGGTTGAGCCCGGGCATTTCAGCAGCACTTCATGCAAATAGGTCAGCATTCTCCTGGAGACAAGCCTTTAGCTGTTTCCTTGCTAAGTCGGGGAGGCCTGTGCCGATCTTCACGTTTCTTCTGGGATCGTCTCCTAGCATGATGAGTTCGAAGTCTCTGTCTGGAATGGAGCGTGTCGGGTGGGAGAGCTGCCCGTTGTCTGCTGGAGGCGTGTCTTCGGACTCTTCGACTTGTCCCTGCTTGTCGGAGAAACGGTTGTCGAGGTCGACATAGTTGACGTGTGGGAGGGGCTTTGGCTCCTCCGTTCGGGATGGTCTGTCGGCCGATTTAGGGGGGACGTTGATGGAGTTGAGTCCTTTGAGTTTAGCCTCGAAGCATCTTCTGGCTGCCTCAATGTCCCTGTGGAGGGTGACGACCCGCCCTCTGGTTGTGTAGTATTTCATCTTCAGGTGGACTGTCGATGGTACTGCGGTCAGTTCAGCCAAAGTTGGCCGTCCCAGGATGTACTGGTACAAGGATGGGCATTCAATAATCTAAAAGCGGACTTTCACGTGTCTGGCCGTTTCCTCGGCCCCGAATGTGACGAGCAGTTCTACGTGTCCCCAAGGCTTAGTGGTGGTGTCGTTGAAGCCTTGGAGGTCGGAGCCCACATATGGGGTTAAGTGGCTCCCGTCGAGCTGTAGGGTCGTGAACAGGTAGGCGCACATTATGCTCACCAAACTCCCTTGGTTGACTAGGATTCGGCGGACATCGAAGTTCGCCATCTGAGCTTTGATTAGGAGGGGAATGCTGGAGTTGGGTTCCCCCCAAGAAGCTCCTTGAGGTAAAAGGTGATTGGGTTTGATTGTCCTTTGAACCTGTCGAGGGCAGCGTTCGTCTTCGAGCTCTTGTCGATGAGTTCCTCGAACTTCCTCTTGACTGACCCAACTGATAGCTTGCTGGGCCCCCACTGGATATCACCAGTGTAGTGGGGAAATCCTCCCACGAACTGTGGGCAGACAGTGGTCTGGCGGGATCGCTAAAAAGGAGGAAGTCTTCTGGTCGGGAGACGCACAGGGCCAACTGCAGTCCTGTTTCGTCGGAGGGAATTGAAGCTTCCACGACCCTCTTGGCATCGCGGGTCTCAGGTCGGGGGGCTTCACCCCTCCGGGTATACTATTTTAGATGCCCTTCTTTAATTAAGATCTCGATGCATCTTTGAGGTGGATGCAATCTTCTGTAACGTGTCCATGACTCCGGTGGAACTGACAGTATTTGGATTTGTCTACGTTAGACAGGATGCGCTCGCGGGGAGCTGTGAGTAGCGTGTACTCAGTGAACCGGCCCGCTGGTCCTTTCTGTTCGTGGGACCGGTCTTCGCACCTTCTTTGCTTGTTGCCTCGAGAAGAAGGGGATTCCTCATGACTGTCGCCTTTGAAGCCCTCTTGGTTCTGTCTATCCGGAGCGGTGTTTGCGGCCTCTATCTCCTCATACTCGATGTATGATTGAGCTTTGTGGAGGAGGGCATTAAAGGTGCGGGGATGTGCAATCCCAACGGCCTTGGAAAAGTCAGAGTGTGGTCTTATTGCCCTCTAGATCAAAAACTTCTTCATATTGT